CTTCCTTTTGAGCCATATCAAATTCATCCTAACTCAAGATAACAACACAGCACTTCATCCTAATTCCTAAACATAAACCCATCCTAACTCCTATGCCATATCAAATTAGCAGTTCAAATCACAAGACAACATGAACAATTTTTTTTTAAAATGTACCAATACTATCCAAAATTGGCGTCGGGTAGGAGGCGGGGCGTCGAACCTTTGTGCCGGAGCCTCGGAGGTGAGGCGGACCGTCGAGGCAAGGCTATGAGTGGCCGGAGCTTTTGTCGGACTTCGGAGGTGCGGCATCGAGGCGCGAAGAAGCGATTGTCTACTATGTCGAGAGGCTAGAGGTGCCGGACGGCCGGAGAGAGTGACTGGGAGAGAGAGGTGACGAGTGAGTAGAGATGTTTGCGGCTGTGGTGCCTGTGTGAGAGCGAGAAACCAGAAATTTCACAAACCTAATCCCTAATCACATCACATTATATATTATATACTAGTTGGGTCACGCCGTGCACGCAGACTCAAATTTAGTCTAAAAATACAGTGAAAATCAAATTTAGTCTTAAATCTACTAAAAATGGTCGATTGAAATGATTAGTCGAATTTATATTTTTTTTGAAACATTGTTATTAAATTTTATACAAAACTCATAACGCAACAAAGAACCCGCTAAAGTTTATCAAATGCTTGTTTATAGATCTAAATAGATTATCAAAATAATAAAAAGGAGAAAATAACGAAGAGATTTGAAAAAGAGGAACCCTAATCTACTCCCAAAGCAACAACGGAAACGCAAAATAATATCGCAGACTTTCTTTTAGATTTGGAATAGATTATCAAACGAAAGTAGGAAGAGATTAAAGGACAAGACTAAAAAAGAGATTAAGAGAGAAGCAATTCACAATCAACGGAACTGTGAAATCTCATAGAAGAGAACAATCTCCGTACTCAAGGAACTTACTATCTTCCCCAATGTTCGAACATTCAATAGAAATAAAACAGCAATTGTGAAATTTGACAACAATTTTTTCCCTTAAAAAGTGAGGACCTGATAAAACAAGAATAGTGAAACCACTTTGTTCTTTGATAGAAGGATGGATAAATTGATAATATACTTTAGCCATGATTTTGGTGAGTCCATAGTAACTTCCAAAAGTCACAGCTCTTTCACAATCTTTTGAGCACAGAATTTATATTCTTCTAACAAGGTTTATAATAAATTTAGAAGTAAAAAACAAAAGCTAAAAGTTCATTTGAGAACATAACATTCAGTAAATTAGAACATAACATTCAGTAAATTAGAATTTCTATATAGACACACCACAAGAAAAATGTGTATACGTGTGTATCATATATGAATCAACAACAAACTAAAATACACATAATTCATTACTACATGTTGACTACGGAGTCCAAAGTGCTAAAAGCATTTCATATCAGCTAAATTTAGTCGAATACTTTATGAGTCATAATTATTTCCCTTCACTATCAACCCCCTTAAATTCAACAGATTTCTAGTGCTATTCTTCGTCGCCATCTTTCAATCTCGATCGAGCTCCGTCGCATCCTTTGCATCTGCAACTACCCGCTCTCGCGCCACCACTCATAACCCCCAGTATCTGCAATTTCATTTTTTGGTTAAAATAAAATAAATTGAAAATATATTAATATATAAAATTGGTAGAGAAAAAAAAATATCAAACATTACATCACTATAGAGCCCGCTGACAAATACCTCCACGGCTACCAGATCTCCCTTCCGACTGGGAATCGCTTGGCCATCCTTCCACTTCAGATTAAGCAAGCAAAGTAGCTGGTGGCAGTGAGGTCTCATGTTTCTAAGCAAAACAGTCGGCCCAAGTTCACACAAATGCATAATTTTGTTTGGAACATTTGTCGAAGCATTTCTTTAACAATTTGGATCAATATTAAAATCAAGGACTCAGAATATAAATAGTATAGCGAATTTCAATGTCCATGGATCTACAAAGATTCAACTCATAGCATACCTTTCGCCAATTAATTTCCTGCCAAGCTGTCGCTTAAGCATTAAGTAAAAGAAAACAAAACTGCATCGTCTCTTCATGCCAAGCTAAAGAAGCCTAGTTAATAAAGAAAAACATTAATTTACTAAATTAGGCAATTAGCCACATCAAAGTGATCTAGAAGGTACCCAAAAAAGGGCAATAAGGTACACGTGTCGCATGTAGAGGGCCACCAAAAATGGACATGTGTCGCTTAAAGAGGCCATGTGAGTTACTTTTTTTTAACAAAAATTGAGCGAAAAAACAAAGCTTCAGTCGGTGTAAGTTATATATCATTATTATCATGATGTTAATTATTACTCTCAGTTGTAAATGGTTCCAAACATTACTGCTGTTGTTATTGATCGATTAAAAGACTGATACTGTTACCATATGAATTTTGGGTTATATCTTCTTCTTGCCCAATTTTCTGTGACAAAAGATAAACCAAAGGAACTTTGTACAGGAACAATAATATGATTCAGTATCCTTCTCAGTCCTCAGAGAAGCTATACTAACTTGCATGTTGAATGCAACCATTTGTGCTCCATGTGTACATCCGATTAGTGGGTTGTAATTGGAACATAAATGATGAGAAGAAAATAGAACCACTAAAAAGGAAAGCATGTACAACGAAAATAGCTTCATGAACCTTTTTGGAGTCTTTATATTGCAAAGCAAAGGTGAATGACAGAAATGATTAGATAATGAATTCCAATATTCTCAAACTATAACTATTCAATACTAAATTCGAGAGCTGACGAACCTGGGACAGTAGCACGACTTTGTAGTTCCTTTGATAAAGCTTCTACTTACTCTTTTGTTGCCACCTAGATTAAGTGAGAAAATAAAGAAGACAAGGTTAACATAACTACTTAATCAATCACAGGGTTTAAAGGTTCCAAAGGCCAAAATAATTATTTATTGAAGGGGTAAAAATGAAAAGGATGCTCAATGATAAGTCAACATCATAACAGATGCCAATCGTGCAGATGTATATACATATAACAACACGAGTTCAAGTATAATACACGCTAACAAACCCCACCCCTTTATCACCAAAAAAAGGCAAAATACATTAAAGAAGAATTATATAGATGCAGGAGAAGACAAGGCAACTACCTTTCATGTTAAAAGAAGCCAGATGAGACCCTCAGCAATGGTTATCTACCAGACTTTGCAGCATGTAACAAACGTATACCTTTAGGGTATACTCTCAGCATGTTCCTCTGAGTAAACCTGAATAATAGACATTGGATAAACTGTAAAGGAAAATCATTCCACTTCCTAACACCATCGATTTTCTATGTGATTCTCACTAACCTAACAAAAAAGGAAAGAAAGAAAAGAAAGTTGCTTTCTTTTGCTAACCGAAAAATGTTTGCGATTTCTTATTTAAATTGTATAACTCGCCCAACAATAGGGTTTATCCACTTTTAGGAAGGTCATATGGCTTCACTATGGATACAACAATGTAAGAGAAATTATGTCTAGGACATTTTTGAGACAAATGATTTTTCAAAGGCATGCATTATGTATTAGCTGACTAATTATTTCTAGCAATTTGAGTTCAATATCTAGTACTCCCTCCTATTTTTTTTAAATGTCATTCTAGCCTTTTCAACTATTTGCCAAATAAATGTCGTTTTGGATCTTTTGTACATATTTTTCCATTATTTCCCTTATTTTGCCAATAAATACATTACGTCTTTTCATATTCACTCTTCACTTTTTCTCAAAACATCCATCTCTATCTTCATTAAATAAGGTTATTATTGACAAAAAAAAATATTCTTAATTAGTGTGCAACTTCTCAAAAAGATAAATATTAAAAATAGGAGGTAGTACAACATAGGCTTATGTTTGACTAATTAGTTCGTGTTTTGGTTTCATTTCTCCGCAGAGAGCCATAGATCCAGTGTTTTGCCAAAAGCAGATTGATGGGTCTCCTCTCAG